CCAGAGTTATGATTTATTTTTCTAAATGGGTGGAGAAAGGAGAGCAGCAAGAAACTAGCCTCCTAGTCACTCAGAATCCTTGGCTTGACACATCTCTGTGGGTGTTTTTGTCTTTTTGTTTTGTTTTGTTTTCTGTATGTACCTCTAACTCTCCTTTAAGTTCTATTAAAATAAACTAAATATTTGGTTGACTACCTTTGTCCATAGCTTCGATCCTGTTTATTGTAGTTAAATTTATAAAAAGTATTGTATGTTCCCCTTTTCTACTTTCTGTTTATAATTGTCCCTATTTACCCCTCCACCCCATTAAGAATTTCACAATAAAACCCTGCACCAAATAAATTAAAATCTGCAACTTCAGACACCCAAAGAAGAGGACATTAATCCACTTAGTAAAATACCCAGACCTCCCCCTCTCAATTTCGGCTCTTCTTAATGTAACATTTAGTAATTGCAGCTGGCTCCTTACACTTCCCTCCCTCCCTTTCATTCTGAATCATATTGGCCTTGTTTGACCTTCATTTCCTTTCCTACCCCCCACATTTGTCCACGTACTTTTCTTTGACCATGCTGGTCTTTCTTTTGCTGCCTGGATTAAAAGCAATAAACAGAGCTTTCTAAGAGCCTAATACTTTCTGTTAAAAGCCCACTCTACCTCCCCGTTCACTAGTAATGCTTTGTACAATTTTTATGTATCCTTATTGTTGTGTAGTTACTGCTCTATATTTTTCTGATTGATCATTAAGTTATGCTGGCTTTTGAGAACTGCCTCCATAATCCCAAAGCAAAGGCTTTTTACTTGGCATGCTCTTTGCCTTTGGAATGCCTTTCCTGGCAAGGACAGGCATTTCGGTTCGACTACGATTCTTAAGTTACAATTCAAGGCTAATTTGTTCAGTTAGGCTTCTACTACGAGCAGCTCTGGTTCTCACTGTGAAGTGTTCCATGAGGTTGCTTAGTTGAAGGGTGTGTTGTAAGTACAAGATGTAATATACTTATATTGTACTTGATTATCAGTTTTCAAAAACAGCTGCATGCTTTGATATCTGTGTAAGGAAATATCAGAAGATAATATACCATTGGTATTTATTACTCTATAATTAAGGATGTGTCAGTGTTTCTCTTTTTTAAAAAAACCCTATTTTCAGAAATTCATATCTCAGGCATAAATTTCCCTATGAATTACAGTCTAATACCATATTAGAAGTATCTTCTTTTTAAGTTATCCCTCCCCTTCCTTTTCTTTCCGGGGAAGTAAGTTTCAGGATGTAATTTCTGGGTTATCTATTAGGGATGAGAGGAAGCAATTCCTATGCTGCACAATTAAAGGTGCTGCCGCCGCCAGGGCCACCTGCTCCCTCTATCCCAGGGCCTCTGCACACCAGGTGAGATCGTGGGGGCTGCCTCTGAATGAAGGGCCGGCCTCCCATTTATGTGGATGAGCAACTTCATCATGGTATGAGGTGAAAGGCACTGGAGGAGGCTCAGCCGTCCCGAAGTACTGCAGGTGCCAGAGAGTCTGAAATTTTAGTACCAGGAATCAATTCTTATGCATTCCTCCCCTTATTAAGGTCACTTAGAATACAAATGCGGCCAGGAGTAACATGAAATAATCTACGGAAAGGTACTGGCACCTTATCCATCCATGGTCCTTCTGCCCATAGAAGAAGCGGGAGGAGGAAAGAGGGGAGGGAGATAGAGAGATTTGTCCCTTTCACTCCTTTAAGGGATCGTGGTTTGACCAACTGAATTGACCATGGCCTTCTGCAAGAGGCTGTTTCTAGACCTGCCTCTACCACCGTGGGACCCATGGCAACTTGGCTGCTCTTCAGGCCATCAGTTTCCCCACAGGTTTCAAAAGCAGATGCTTCTCAGGAGGGCCAGGAAAGGTACCTACATGCATAAAGATGAGTGTAAAGATCACAGGGCATGGTAGGCATATGATGGATGTGGCGGCTGAATGGCTCCCTACAGGCACAATAATAGTAATATTACAGACAAACACTGGCTTCATTGCATGGTCTCTCACGCCTCTTTCAAGACCAGCAACGTAAGCCACAAAGCAGCCCCCTGCTACCCTCTGCACTCTCCTGCCTAGGGGTCTGATAGTCATGCGCACTGACCTGATGCTTCCTGAAAGATGCATAGGTGACGATGACGCTATCCCGAGCAGGGGAAGGCTTGTAAAAAAAAATCTCTGTTTCTACAACGTAGTCTGTATGTTGTACATACATATAAATATGCATGCATATAAATATGCCTTTATATGACGCCTTGATTTTCTCATTTGTGAGGTGATCCTGGAAACCTTAAATTGTCAAATATAAAGGACTTCAAATTCTTAGAGAAAGGCATAGCTCAAAGTATTTCCAGAAGTCCCTGCTAGCACACCACCCTAGGTCAGCTATTGAAAAATGCAGTAACTGTTAGGAGAGTAACATAAGCATCTTAGATTATCTCCCAAGAAGCAGCAATTCCTTATATTAGTTTGTGGGAACAATTATGAATCTGTCTTGGGGCTGAAACTAATAACCATAGAGCTGCGGGAGAGAAGAAGGCATCACTCAGGTTCATCGTAATGGGAGGGTCCCTGGAGGCACTGACCCCACACTCGACTGTAGGAAAATGGGCTGTCGGGTGAGAGAGGATCCTTGTTCCTGGAGCCATACATCCCGCTTGCGCAGCGAGGGATTTCCAAAGACACGAGGGAGCACTCCTCCTATGGATTGCAATGAGGGACTGAGTCCACAGTTCATCCTGGCTTCAAGAGGAAAGGGAACAGGTGCCAATATGGAAGCTAGGCCGTGCGGCTAGGAGCTCAGACAGCCCTGTGCTCTACCCTACAGCTCTGAATTTTTCAAGATGCGAAGACTGGCTCGTGTAACATCATCCTTTTCCTTCCTCTCATCACCGTTCAAAAGGTTTCTCCAGAACTATGGTTTTCCATCTTGAGTGTGTAATGTTACAGGAATTAGTGAGAAATGGTGACCAGCGGCCCCAAGAAAAAGAGACTCTACGGACAGTCAAGTCAGCCCTTTTCAAAGTATGATTTGTTTCAGTATCAAGGTTAAGTCCTTGGCTCCTGGTAAGCGAGGAGTCTTCTTATGCAAAACTGTCAGGGCAGTGTCTTCCGCTGTTTGAAGGGAAATGGACCACTGACTTAAGAGTCAAGAAACATTAAGGAAGGCATGGTAGCAAAACTAAGCAAAGTAGTCACAGCTCCTTTCAGAAGGCACATCCAACAATAACATCGAAGACACGCAAAAAGTCATACAGAGTACGAATAGCCTTTGGATACAACAAGCCAGCCTCAGAAATAAGCCACTAATCATAGAGTAAATGTGACTCTCCCAGTTACATGTCTCTGCTTTCTACCACCACTCCTCTGACTTAAAAGTTATTGTACGTTTGGTATAAATCCCATAGTTTGTTGTTGTTGCATTTTAATCACAAATGCACAAAGCTTTCAGCAGCATGTAGAACTGTATGCATGTTTTTAAACTTTCCCAGTTACATTTTAATGAACAGCTTTGAAGGGAGGTTGTATCATAGAAGCATTAGTCTCCTAGGGGCGCCTGGGTGGCTCAATTGGTTTTGCGTTCGACTCTTGATCTAGGCTCAGGTCATGATCTCACGGTTTGTGAGTTCAAGCCCCAGATGGGTTCTGCGATGACAGCACACAGCCTGCTTGGCATTCTCCCTCTCCCTGCCCCTGCCCTACTTGCTTTCCGTCTCTCTCTCACAAAATAAATAAGTGAACTCAAAAAAAAAAAAAAAAAAAAAAGCATTAGTTGTCCTATTTCTCAATTCAAATTTTAAAATGAAAACTGTTCATGTCAGTGATTTATAATATACTCTCTTACTGTTAAGTATACTGTCTGATATTAAATACCCCCTAACTTTTCACCGAAAGAGAAAGGCACATAGGCCGATTCTTGCCCATGGTCAGCAGAAGAATAAAACCCATAGACTATGTCGACATAAAAAGACAACATGGACTCTCATTTGAAAATTGATTCTGTCACCCACAGAAAGTATCTTGAGTCTTAACTGAAAATTTTATTGTGGCTCATAATATTTCTGGGTAGCAGATGCTTTCTCAAAAACAGATTTTACTTTTAAAAATATCAAATATAATTAACACCTTCAACATAAAATGAAATCTTTGCTTCCAGATGCATTTCAAGGTGTTGAAATGAATCTGTGCAGCCCTATGTGGCTGCGAGTTTCCATCAACTTACTGATTCTGCTGCCATCTTTACATGGCACATCTGAAGATGTGAGAGCCGGAGCAGGGCATTTAAACCTAGCCATATCAGAAGGACGCTTATTAAACTGCAGGCTTTCTGAGAAAGGTCTTTTGACCTATTCCTGACCCACATGGTATAAATGAGCAGGTTAAGAACGAGGTGCCGTGAAATTTATTATAGAAACACCTAACCAGAAACACAGATGAGGCAAGTTCAGGGCAAGTATACCCTGGATGCTGTATCAAGGCCTTGATAATGAGCAGACTTTTAAAGATACTTAAAATGGAAATTGGGCGAGTAGTTTATTTTAAAGGAATAAAATTAACAGAATTGAATGTTTAAAAAAAGGAAGATCAAAATTTTCAGCAACCATACTCAAAATAAGAAATAATGGGAGTGTTCAATCTCTTTATTCAAAGTAAGTGAAATAGGAATTAAAAAGTCAACTTGTGGGGTACCCAGGTGGCTCAGTCAGTTAAGCATGCAACTTTGGCCTCAGGTCATGATCTTATGGTTTTGTGGGTTTGAGCCCTGCGTGGGGCTCTGTGCTGACAGCTTGGAGCCTGCTTAAGATCCTCTGTCTCCTTCTCTGTGCCCACCTGCCTCCATGCTATCTCTCTCAGAAATATTTTTTAAAAAGTCACCTTGTATTCTCAATTATCCTTTGATTTCAATGAAATATGGGTTAATTTACTTAATAACACTCTAACCCACCATATCATTGGTTTGAGAAGCACACAAAACACACACTTCAAGTTTTCAATTGTTAAGAATTACACATTGACAAAAGTTTTTATTGCTTATTTGCACTAAGACCAAGTCTGACAGCATAGTTCTAACAAGTGACAGCTTTAATGTAAATTTTTATTCTCGAAGTAATGCTGGGCATGGCTGAAAACAAAATCTGATTTGAGGTTATGGGTATAGGGAAAAAACCCTCCATATACAGGTAACTTTCAACTATGTCTACACTGAGATGGGAGCCCATTATTTTCAGGATAGTAACACACAGTAAGCTCAACACTGCTTCTTGGCTGTGAGATTATACTATTATTTCTAGAAGACATCCTTCTGACTGAAGCAAATTTACTGGTATAGTTCCATCTCCTTAGATGATAAACCCTGCCTAGAGGTGTCTAAGAACGTCCTAGGCATACTGACATCCTAATGTTTGCACTCAAAAGGAGTAGCCCTGGTAGATTTTGAGGTCCCCATTCTCAGTCCACAAGGAACTTCAGAAATGATCCCTCAGCCCTTTGTTTTATGGGTGAGGATGTAATTTGTTCAGTGACTTCCCTGCAAACCATAGGACTTGAAGCCAGGGCAGTGATGTCCCGGGACGCGTTAAGGGTCTCACATTGGTTAGGGAGAGGACTCTGTGCAAAGACAGAGTTTGTTCTTTTTGCTTCTTACTCTTCCTGCTTTTAAATTCTCAGGCTGCAGGGATCCTGAATTCCTGCTTTCTTTGATCTACAAGATCACCTCTATCCTGAGGGCTCTATCTGGCTCTCTGACCTTGATCTGTTTCCTGCTGACGATTTTGCTACCTGTCAGATGGGCCCTACTGGACTTCTGAATCACTGCCTGCTTTATCTCGGATGCCTTCGAGACCAGTCAATCTTTTTAGAAGCCAGAAGGCCACGCATGGCCCCTGCCTACCCTGCTTTCCCTGGCTGTTCCTCAGTCTGTAGTGTCTAAAAGTTATTTGTTTCAAAAGCTAGGAAAGTTACAATTTACCTGTCAGTAAACAGAAGATGGTTTATCAACAGACTTTACCTTAATGACTACAAATGTTTACCTCCTGCTTTCCAGAATGCAAAGAAAATCTTGGAAATGTCATAATATCTTACAAACATTTGCAAAACAGATCCTTGTACATCCGGAAAAGAAACAATTGTATTCGTTGTCTCTGACACAAGAAAGTGTTCAGTGAGAAACATACAGATAGATGTACACTCTTACACATAAATGAGATATGCTAATTAAAAATTGCAGTAGGCACTTTATTAAAAATTTATTTTACAATCTAGCCGTTCAAAACATCTTTATATCAACAAATACAGCAGCTTGACTATTGGAATCATAAGTGATTTATCTTGAAAAGATCGTATTTGTAGCTGGATGCAAATATTTTTGAGGAATATTTATATCAAAATTACTGTTTTTAGTAGAAGTATTTTGATTTCTCTATTTTTACCCCAGTGGAAAAAAAAATTGAAACGAGTATCTCAGTGTTCATTTTATGGGCAAGATGGCTCCACTTAGTGTATTTCCCATGTTTGTCCAAATTACAGCTGTTTATCTAGCAACTTTAAAATAAATTAAATGCAAATGTAACTTTGCGGATCGTGGGAATACCTGCCAGACCCTTATTAATACCTTCACTTAAAAGCCCCTGTGCCAGAGAGTCGTTAATTTGCTAAAATAAAAGTGCTAAAGCAGCCCCTTGCCCACAAACAATTCTGAGATGGCCGCCCAATTAGTCCGGTAGCATTCTGATCCTCCGTTCAGACCCTGTGGCCCTTTGAGGACGCAAGAAGGCTCCGATGATAACCTGGCAACCTAGGTAGAAACACAGCCAAGTGCGAGCTTTTGAAGCTGCAGTTTGGCTGCCATCGTGTCGGCAAAAAGAAAGAATTCAGGCACCATGTCATCCAGTACAAAGGATAAAAACGGATTCAACCGGAAATTCAATGTGGCACCACATATGGGATACATGAGTGCGGTTATACAACAGGCCACATATTTTTTTTGAACAGTCTCCTCCATGTGATGCCGAGGACATGTGTAACCATCATAACGTCTCTAGGAATCTGTATTTAATTTGAGTTGGGGTGGTGGCAGGGATGGGAGATCTGAAGCCGCCACAGGTTTGTGGCAGATGGCTCTGTGTCAGCTATGACAAGCAGCCAGGCTCAGCTTCCTCTGCAGATTTTCTTTTCTCTCTGATCAGGTAAATATGGGCACACTCTGGAAAGTTCTACAGATTCTGCCTTAGGCTGCAAGTTTGTGACTTAGCCCCATCTGTCACAAATCTTCCCTAGGTTCTGTTGTAAGCAGAGACCTGAATTTACCATGTAGGGCTGCCCAAGAAAAAGGAGTCATTTCACCCTGCGAGGGGGAGGGAGAGAAGAGAGAGCAAGGAAGAAGCATTAACAACCGAAGACGAAAGGATGTTCAAAATTCATATTGCAAATTTGCATAACTTACGTCAATTAGATTTCAAAAAGCCACCAAATAAATGGTTCTCCAGTTTCATCAACTCAGGAAATCCCAGTTTCTGATTGGATTAAAGTGGAACTGTATTTCAGCCGTAGGGGAAAGCTCCCGATTTTTCGCAAATGGGTACATCCCACTGCACGCATATTTCCTGGTTTATGTTAGGGCCAACGGCTGTTCGAAGTTTATCATCCAACTTTTAACTTTTATAAACACAAGATACACAACACCCTTAGCCCATGCTTTAGCTAAAGCAAATTTTACTTTTAAGTGGTTAAGGCACAAGAGAAATGCCATTACTACTACATGAAATGTATAAAGCACTTTGAGTTTACAAACAGGTTTATATTCATTATTTCATTATAGCAGTACCTCGGGGGGGAAATGCTATTAAGAATTGAGGGGGGGAATTTTTTCCAAGTTTACAAATGAATCATAGAGAAAGGCTAAGAAGTTCATCTAGAGCCAGGCTGCAAATGAGTAGCAGAGAAGAACAAGACGCCAAAATCTCTCACTCTTCTTGATCATCCAAAGTATCTATTGTGCTAAAATTTTGCTTTTATTTTACTTAGACAAACCAAAGGAAAATCAAGCCAAATGAGATCAAGGAAGGAAGTGAAGAAGGAGAGAGGGAGAAGACTGGGGAGGAGGGGGAGAGGGAGGGAGAGAGATTGGGAAGTTGCCTTAAACTGTGCTCATGCGGTTGAGAGATTTTTAGAAGTTCTAAAAATGTCACAAGCTTTTAAGTTTTCATTTTTAGGGAAAAAAGTAATGACTTTGGAGTGTTAATACAAGTGAGCAACACCTTATTGATATCTAGAGTGTAATCTCAAATTAAAAGAGGACTATAAAGTGACCAGTCCCTTGAAGGAAGCTTACAGTGGCCTGGCCTTGGTTCGGACAGACAGAGCCTGAGAGAATTAAGGCAACCACAAATGGCTTTTCTGGGCACTGAATGTGAGCTGTAACCTTAATCATTGTTTGGAGGCATTTTTAGGCAGAAATCTGAAAATTCTTCTCTCCTCCAATTAGGAGCAGGTTATCAAGGTTCCTAGAATGTTGAACAACTTGAAGAGGAGAACAGAATAAAAATCAGCAGCTGTCATTTGAACAATCTTAAGAAACTACAGGCCACTCTCAGAAAGTACAAGAAAGAACGCATCTCTTTTTTCCCCACACAGAATATTGCTCAATGTGTAAATAAAAATAAATGAGAAATAGGATTGGAATGAAAAGCTATCCCGGTAGTCTGGGCGGTATCTACTTTTCACAAGTGCCCTGTTTGTGCCCTGCGCTCTTCTCAGTACTCGTAACAATGTAATGGCCATCATTTTTTCTCTAAAGCATTTTAAAATATAATGATGAGAAGCCTGTAGAAACATAAGGAACTGATCTCAAAAGGTTGTTGGGAATTTTCAGTAAGTAAATTCACATAGTGAAAAGGAGGCAAAAATACAACTTCATGGTATGAGGCTTACTGGGGCTGGAAAAGGGAAAACTATTGTTAGTGTTAGGAAGTCAATCCTTGGCTAATTATTTTATGATTACTTCTGGAATCTTGTGTTCAAGTTAGGTTTGGGAGTCATAAAAAGCTCCCCATCGTGGATGAAATGAAACCTATTTTTAATCTGTGTGACAAGTATGTGGCCAATGTGTTTGACCTACTCAGAAAAGGAAGTGTTCTGAAAGTACGAGAAAGCTGCAGTCAATGACTAACTTAGATGTAAACTTTTTAAAGAAATGGTTTAGATTTTTTAAATTATGAAAATGGTTTTAGATTTCAAAATGGTTAGGGGACATTTAATTTCTGCATACATTGTATTTCTCTTAAGAAAGATCTTAAGAAAAGTGTGTGTGTGTGTGTGTGTGTGTGTGTGTGTCTTTGTGTCTGTGTCTGTCTGTGTAAGAGAGAAGGAAGTCAAAAGAGAGGGAGGGAGGTAGGGAGGGAGAACATACTTGCATGCATGTGAGGAATTTAAACATTTCAAATCTGAAACCATTTCAGGTGAGAAGGCATGGGCACAGTGTTCTGTAGTAGAAAGAGTCACTTTAAGAAAAAAAAAGTATCCAATTCTGTTTCTGCTTTTCAGTTACTAGCATTCTGTTTCAAATCCTGCTTCAAGTTATAGCCCCCAAACTCTCACTCATATTGAAAGTATAATGTCTCATGTGAGAAGAAAGCCAAGTGTTAGTAGCCTTATTCTAGTCATTAAATTTCTAAGTGTGAATCCATATGAAAAATCCTATCCTAAAGTGAACTCTATGTGAAAAGCAGTTGAGATGATTTTAAAATGTAAACTTTTGACAAAAAAAGAGAGTAAGGTGTAAAAATGTAAAAGGAGCAAATTAAAGAATTCAGTGACATTCTATCCTTTTAGATCTTAGAAGCATATGTTTTATAAAAGCAAAACAGCACTGTCCAATGGAATAAGTCTAAAAAAAACCCCAACATTCTCGTTAACAGCACACACAAAAGACTCTTCCATTGCATAAGGAAAGTAAGGAAAATATTGCCTTGGGGGGAATAGTTCTCTTGTACTGTATTTCAGGCAAATGTTACCTGAAAATGTGTATATTAATAAAGCATGAGGTGAAAAGGTACCATAGCTTTTTATACTTAATTGTAAAGTTTTAGAAGGCATCTTTTTTGCTGTTTTGGTTCTAAATCCTATTACAATAACCAAACTAAATCTGTGGTCCTTTCCTCTGTGTGTGTGTGTGTGTGTGTGTGTGTGTGTGTGTGTGTGTTTACCAGTTTCTCCTGACAAATGCATCGCAAAGCTCAATTGCCTATAATTCTTGGACTAAGTTATTAATTTTAAGACGAATATTCAGATATAATATCATCAAGCTCTATAAATGAGGGCACCTCTGCAAGGTCTTAATAGATTTATAAGAAAAAAAATCCATGGCAGAAAATACATAAAAAAGAATTATACATACAAATTCTTATAAATGCTTACACAGGAGATATTAATTTATAAAACTTGGAGGTGAAGTACTTTAGGATGTACAGTCTCAAAGCATATGTAAAAAGTAATTACATGAAATAACATGTAAGGCATAGGTTATCTTTTAAGCTATATGAGGGACAGTTTTATATACTAACAGCATTACCACTGAGCTGACAATGTTCGAGAGTTTTTTCAGAAGTTGTTTGTAAAATAAATAATTATAGCTATGCTATAGAGTATCATATTAAAATATTTCAACCAGAGGTCTGTTTTCCTTTGCAACCAAAGCTAACTTGTTGCAGTAACTTCTGAAATGGTTAAAAATTTGTAAACAAAGACTAACGGAGATAATGAGGTCTAACTTGAAGCAAAGTTCAAAACAGCTAAATTTTGACGGGGGAAATAGCATTATAAAACCTTCACCATTCTCATCACAAGAAAATAATAAACCCTTCCTTCCTTCCTTCCTTCCTTCCTTCCTTCCTTCCTTCCTTCCTTCTTTCCTTCCTTTTTTTTTGTATCTGTATGAGATGACGGATGAGAAGTACACTTATGTTGATAACCATTTCACAATAAATGCGTGTCAAGTCATTATGAGGTATGTCATAAGCTGACACAGTGCTGCCAGTTGTATCTCAATAAAACCAAAAAACAAGCACAACTTCACCAAAAATTCACCAGAAAGGTGAAAAATTTGTAACTGGATGGTGAACTCACTGAAGAGATCTGTGTCATATACAGAAAATTAATCTGTTTGCATAAATACTTCTTATTCTATTTCTTCCGTTTTCATAATCTGCACATTTTGATAGCCTGTCATGTGGCAAACTACTTGCTTAACATTTTATCCAAACCCGACCACTACTGAACTTCCAAAATTAGAGAATTTGGATGTGAACCTTGGAAGAATGTTTTCTTCTCCTGTATACGGTGCAATCGTATTGACTCAAGGAGTAATACTGAAGCCTGGAACTGTTCAGTCAGCATTTTAAACTATTATGAGCTACCTTCTGAACCATTGCCAAGTTAATAGACAATGAAAGATAATGAGCTTGAAATTGGGTGTTAAATTGCATTTTTGGTTCTCTCCCTTTTTTCTTGAAGTTTAACTGTTTCCTGCAGAAACAAAGTCCTGTTTTGATGTATCACTATGTAAATATGTATTTTAGGCCATGAAAAGGGAAAGGAGAGAAAAAAGGCAGCAGACTGTATTTCATGTAGGAAGGTTATACATTAACATAGGAAAATTAAAATATACTGGATTATAAAACTGCTAGATTGTAAACTATACTGAATTTATGTAAAATGAAGATGCTACATTCAAAGAATATAAAAAGGTATATTACTCATGGCCTAGAGCCACCTTCCAAACTCGTAAAGCAGATTTATCCCAGTTCAATTACTTAGACTTTTAGCAGGGCCTCTTTGTGCTGTCTGCTCAACAATGTAAAATTCTTGATTCAAACAAGGGGAAAAAAACGGTAATGAAGGAGGGGACTGCATGATGATGCTCTTTAAACTGTTTTCTTTCTGCCTTTGCCATTCAGAGAGGAGACTGGCAGTGTCCTTCTAAACAAACTGTGGATTTTTATGTCCTTTTATTACACCGGGTAAGGGAAAAACATTTGATTCTTGAAAATCGTTTTCAAAGTAGTTAAAAACTGAACACCAAACTTCACGAATGTCATTCACCTGAATTTTTGAGGCCTGAAGATTTCATTATGATGGGAAGACAGGCTTATCCTCATTAGTATAATTGTGGAATCTTTCCTTTTACTTCCTTTTAAACTAATGAGTTACATTAATCCAGGTTCATTTTTATAAGCCTCTTGGGGCTAAATGTAAAGGACAGTCATCTTAGAAAACAATAAATTAAAAAAAAGCATGTACCATGCATTAAGTGCACGTATTTCATAAGACCTAGGTTAATACAACTGGCATCCAGTTTAATTAATCCTTGTTAGTGTAACAACTAATATCCCTCCCTAGCATGTTGCCTTTAAATATTAGTATGTTAATTAAATGTTTTTTTTTTTAAGAATTTTCTTTGTACTTCAATATGGCATTTATACCACGTAAATCTCTCCTCAATATCTACCTTATAAAGATGTTTTCTTACAATATCTGGTCTCTTGCAGAAATTCTGGAGCCTTTTTGAAAGCTGTTCAGGTGTAGAATACAGATATTCAGCTGCAGGAAAAACAGATACATTTTTAATGAAACAAAAACCTCAAAGCACACACTCGATATTAGTCACTTTACTAATTAAAAATGCATATTGCTCTGTGCTGCCTCGTGTTTTACATTATTTAAGCATGATTTTATAAGGTTACCTCAGCTCACAAGGATGTTTAATGCTAAATAAGACTGTGTAGTTGTGCTGTTTAGACATCTCCTTTGGGTGATTAAAATACATTATTCTAATGTAACACAATGCATATGTGATATATTTAGTGATGAGAATTTTTTCAAAGAACTGGTACTATAGCCGTATGTACCCTGTACAACAGTTGCATATTATTAACTAGTCAATTGTTTAAATAATTTGGTGTGACTTCCAGTCCTCGATTTTTCTCTGTGTATATCATTAAAAAAAATCTGTAAGCAATCGCAGCAACACTGACCTGCTTATAAAAATCCATCATTATGGGATGTGTATGCTAACAATGAAGAATGCTATTTGAAAACTTGCTTTTTTGTTATCTTAAAAGAACAGATGGTAAATATAAGCTTACTCTAATGTATTAAAACACATAAAATTTTCCTTAACACTAACATGTTGACTTGCCAAATAAACAATTGCTCCTGCCTAAGTTTATTTTCAAACTTTCTAATTTAGCATGAATCATGTATTAAATCGCAACGAAGATGAAAGTCCATGAAAGAAGCTACCTGGAAATATTTCAGGATAAACCAGATCTTTGGGACAAAGTGGGTAACAACCACAATACACAGCTTCCAACCTAAAGAAATTTTAGAGAGAGGATAAAAATATTAAAAGGACATTACTATGATTGCCAAAAAGTGGTTTTGTTTGCCTAAGTTAACAGGATGAGCTCTGAATTAACTGGGACGAAAAACATGGTCGGCAGTACAAGCCTTAAAGCCAAAGTTGCTCTTTTAAAAGATTTTATTGATCATATATGAATTTCATAGAACAGAACCAAGAGCATATGTTTTGTTCACTGAATTAATCAAAGCGCAGCTCTCCATTTTTTTTTTTGTTTTTAAAATACTGTTTAACACATTTTATAATCAGCAGATAAACACATGTAACAACATGGTAAAGTATGGACAGCTTTTCTTAATAATGCTGCAAAGTCCCAGAATGTTCATTTCTCAAAAATGTTTAAATAAAATAGCAAATACTTAACTTTAACATCATGGTCCTAGGAATGATCGAGGCACTTTTAAAAGCATCAGAAAAAAATTCACAATTTGTTGTGATGGGGCATTTTTATATTTTAAGCTTATGCTTCAAAATAATTTGTTATTTTGCAGAATGCAAAACAATTCCCCCTTTTACTGAAAAATCCTCATGAAGATTACCTTAATGAAAATTTCGCTTTCTTGGCCAAAACTTCAGCTCATCTTTCATTTTATCAGAAAAGAATACTTTAGCATTAAACAAATAAGCAAGAAAGTTTCACTTTGTGAGAGGATTTCCCCCAGGAACAGTTATAGGATGTTATTTTTTTTTCATGTCATAGTAGTAAGGGTTAAGCAGAGGGAAGGTATTGTATCTCAAAGGTTGTTAGCCCTGTATAATGGCTATTGATCTGACATATAATAAACCTTAAAGATACCACTGTAATTTTTGTTGGCTAGAAATTACACAGTGAAATTCAAAGCACTCTTTAAAATATGTTTATTTTATGAGAGACTTTGAATTGCATCCAAAATGTTGACCAAAGGCGGAATTTTATTTTGAACTGCAGATTTTTTTCAACCCAAGAATAATGTGAAGTTATGTCAATGTTTACCTTGTTTGTTTACAGTGACAAAGCACATGCAATTTAAGCTGTTTTTAAGTGGGTGATGTTTTCCCTATTTTATTGTGTTGACTGAAATTAGTTTAAATGAAAAGTATTTACTTTGAGCTGCAAAGTTCGGAAAAATATTGAGTTCAAAGTTTTGCTTGAGAACTGACAGGAGTTACAAGATAACATAGTGAAAAGGCACAGGATCTAGTTACCAATTATTAATTTCAAAATCCAAACTAATATCTAATAGATTTTTTTCCCTACAGACGTAGGGTACGCACGGAAATTCTCATGCCAAATACGGCTATAAACTACACTGCGACTGCAGTATAAAACCGTCTCTAAAGTTTGAGCACATAAACCAGTGATATTCTTTATGAACCAAAAGAAAATACGCACTGTATCTGAAGACACTCAGTTTTAAAATGCTGTGCCAATCGAAAAGTAAATACATATGAACATTCTCTTGTAATTACATAAAATCAAAAGAGTGAAGTCACAGCCATTTCAGAAAGTGCACATGTTATCTGCTTTTTAATAATGGATTTGAATTAGAGTGTTCTGTTCCCCGAAAGAAAATTGCAGGCCAAGTTA